AGAGCGGGTAAAAAGACAGGGGGGCGTCGGCTGTGACCATGGTATCCATGGTTGGCAGAAATCTGGACAGAAACGGTAAGGCCACTCTTTGACGAGTAGACGGGGAAGCGTTAAACGCCGCAAATACCCCGGTCGACAAAAACGGGAGAGAATGACCGGGGGCGGCCCCGACGGGTTAGCCGGTGGTGTGAAAGAAAGCGAAGTTTGTGGAATTTCTTTGTTGATCGTCCCGGCATATTTCTGTAGCACGACGAATACCGCAAACAAACGGCAAACCGCACAAAAAACGAGAAACCAGACATACATACAGACGGAAAAGGCAGTCCATCCAGGCGAGGAACGCAGCACGAAATCCTGATATATACGTCTACCAAGTAGTACCCAAAGACGGCGACGAGGGGAGTGGCCGCGGCAAGGCGAGGGGCGCAGATCACTCACAGACCCAAGTGAAAAGTGAGCTCAAGACTGAGGAGATAATTATACGCGGAAAAATTAAGTCGAAATAAACGCTCGGAAAAGGCAGTCCGATCAGACAAGGAAATTGGGTAGAAAAACACGAGAGGCCAAGGTTGGGCAAGGCGGGTAAGGGTTTGCCCAGCTAATGAAACCTGGTGGAGTCGAGGGCTACGATACATCTACCAGGTACTAGTCAAGGTCGACGCAGTCTGTCCAGGTAAGGAAACGCAGCACGAAATCCTGACACATACGCCTACAGAGTAGTCTCAGAGACGATGACGAGGGGAGTGGCAGCGTCAAGGCCAGGTGCGTAGATCACTGATAGACACAAGTGCAAAGTGCACTCAAGACCGAGGAATCAATTACAAGTGGAAAAGTGAAGTCGAAATAGACACCGAAATTCAGTCCGACAAGACAAGGAAATCAAGTAGAAAATGCACGCGGGGCCAAGACAAGGCAAGGCGGGTAAGGGTCTGCCAAGGCAACGAAACCTCGTGGAGTCGATGAAAGACCTTGAAAGTATGGTGCCTACGATGACAAGGCGAAAGAACGAAATCCGAACGAAACCTACGATGACAGGATACATACAAAAGAGGTAACGCGAAAGAACCACACGAACAAACGCCTCAAGCAGTTCTCCCCGATGGACTGACAGGGCCTGAAGAATGTTGGTCGTTTGGCGGTAGGCTTCCACGGGATGGATTGCAGCGGCACCGGCGGCGAGAGGGGTGACCCCCGGCGGCAGAATTTGCCCCGCGGCGGCGGCGGCGGCGGGGGGGGGGGAATCAGCGGCGAGAGTGGTGACCCCCGGCGGCAGGGTTATCCTCGGGGCGGCAGGGGGAGACGGCTGGGCCGCAGGCACTCGTGGCGGGAGCGGCAACATCGGCAGCACCGCTGGCGAGAGGGGGGACCACCAGCAGTCATGTGTTCCCTGCGACGCCAGCCGTGGGGACGGCCGGGGTGTCTGCACTCGCAGCTAGAGCGGTACCATTCGTAGCAGCACCGGCAGTGAGAGTGGTGACCCCTGGCGGCAGGGGTTTCCCCGCAACGGCGACGGCGGCTGGGGAGACGGCCAGGGCGCAGGAACTCGCGGCGAGAGGGGGGACCACCTGCAGTCATGTATTCTCCGCGGCGCCGGCGGCCGGCCGGGAGGCACGCACTCGCGAACGGAGCAGCGGCACCGTTGATGAGAGCGGCAACGACAGGAGCGGTTACCGTGACGGTCGCGACGGACGGTAGACTGGGCTACCGCACGCCTTTTGAGCCAACCTGGCAGACTAGCGATCCGTCAGCAGCGGTACAAGGTGACGCCTGCGGCCACACGGTTGGGGTCTCGTCGAACTGATATCGTGGTTGGGTGTTGGCGCGTGTACTTCGTTATCACGCTCGCAGGCTCCTGCAGAGTACGTTTCTGCGCAAAGGAGTGAGTCAAGTTCCGCCCGAAAAAGAACAGTCCACGACCCGCACCGAGTGGACAGAAAAATAACATTATCCTCCCCACGCCCCTACGTATATGCACTACACTCTCTTGCTGATGTACGTACATATATCTGGCTACGCACGAACAAAGCCAAAATACTCCTACATGTAGATGAAATCACCCAGAACACGCTCTGCTCATTTTTTGCATGCGAGCGGACCCCAGTCTAGCTTTCCTCTCCCCAAAAAATGAGCCGGACGGGAGATTGACCGGAGTGGAGAGGCAGAGGGCGTATAATCTGCATTTTCCCCCGTCTGAACACGGAATAGCAGTGTTCTTGTGGTGAACGGTTGGTGCATGTGTGATCGAGTGGATGGAGAGCGCAAAACACTTGTCTGTGGGCCCGACCAGGTGGCAGGATGTGGCAAGGAAACACGCCCCCAAAGACACCCACCCCAACAAACAAAGCGTCGTCTGGGGAACTTGGGCAGTTGGCGGGGCTGGTTCTCATGCTCATGGACGATGACCCCCCACACGCCTTGGATGTCTCGGAAGGCATACTGGTGCGTTTGAGCTATGCTGTAGGTGTTGTTGTAAGGATATGTGAAAGGAGGGCCGCGACTTGCCTTGTGAGGGCTGCCACCTGTGCAAAGAAGGATATATTCGACAATAATATTGTTCTTGTTTGAGACCGTTCTTGAGATAGACGAAAGGACGGGAAGTTGCAACACAGTCACAGTCAACTTGATGTCAACTTCAAAGTCCGATGTAGACGTGTGTAGCCGCGTGGACGCATATCACCGAACCATGCACTGCAGCAAGACCCGAGGGGCAGCGACAACAAACTGCAGTCCGGAACCCTGTTGGACATGCGGTTCGGCAACACTGCTCTAAGCGACAAAGATCTAGTCTAACAACAAGACGAGAAAAACTACATACCCGCATGATAGGCCCACAGATATTATTACTACTACGCTCCGAACGAGAACAACAATAGTCGGTCGCCCCGGTGGTCTAGTTGGTATCCTCGACACCTTCTAGAGGTCGGGTCAGGGGTTCGAATCCCGGCGTAAGCGAGCTTTTCTTGCAAAGTGAATTTTCTCTCGCTTCCACTTCTGGCGCAGTGGATAACAGAGGGAAGAGAGTGCTGAACTCTTCTCGCATTCAAAATCGAAGGCAAATTACCGCAGGAGGGGAGGGTAGAGAGGGGCTCTTCTGTGTGACCACGGATTGGAGGACACGGCACTAAATATTGCTGTGAGCGCTGATTTGAAGTGAAGACACAAAAAAAAAAAAAAACGAACGTTGATTGTTGCTGTCCGTGCACATTAGCGAATGAGTGACGCGTACGGGTGTGTGTGTGTCCAAAACTAACACACAGAGAAACGGTATACCTCCGAGATGCCCGCTGTAGTGCATCAAAACAGCAGCCAGAGGGATACAAACCATTTATGGTGGCATCATCAAGATGGAAAGCCCCGCTTACTCAGCAAGAAGAAAAAAAACAGTTGTGATGCATCGGACAAACCCTCTTTGTCTGTTCAAGCGCCCCGTTCAGCGGGCGACACGGACAAGGCGAACTCTTGTGGGCCATAGGAGGCGAAAAGCTCCTCAAACTCGGGGAGGGGTGATGATCTGCGATTCCCCACCGAAGCATACTCGAGACTCCGCGAGTTTTGCATTGTGTAACTCGAGATCAGCATTTCGGGCCGGGTCGGGCAAGTGGGATACTCAAATGTTATTGGTCTGAGAAGCTGAAGCGAAAGCTTCAGAATATGCCGACCCTTCTTTGTGAAAATAGTGAAAACGCGGATGCATTGGACTGACAAACCGTCGTGGTGTGCGGCAACGAGCATGCAATGTCCGGGGTTCGTCTGTCGGTTCGGCGTGGCACCAAGGACATCTACGAGTAAGTCATAGCAAAGAGAGTAGCGTTTCTCAAAAACTGGCAGAAGGTTTTCTTCCAAACTTGCGGGAGGGCCGGGCGGGGGCAGGAGGAACACGGCTTCGAACTCACTCGAAAATCTGTGGTTGAAATCTCGAGAACATCGACGGGAAAAATCAACTTGCTTCCAGAGAAGAAACCGGAGATGGTCAACTCTAAACCCAAGTGAAAAACCAGAGGATGGATGCGGCGACTTGGGCAAAAAACTGGGGCACAGAACATGGTGCATAGAAGCTGGGGTCAAAATCGAGTGAAGGTCTGAGAATTTCGGCAACAGAAACTGAACCTCTTGAAGGGGCTTCAGAACCGCTCAGTAAGACCTCCAGAGAAACAATTGACAAATGTACTAGAGGAAAAGTGAATTTTTACTCTCACTGCCGTTCCTGGTTGTGGAAGGCGCCCGTTCTTGTGTACACTTTTGAGGGAAGCACCGCAGGAGGTGGGTTGGGGGCCTCAGCGGGAGGAACACTTCTGCGTGGCCACGGATTCGAGCTCCAACCCGGCGGAAGTGCTGTGAGCGCTGACTTGGAGTGATGAACGAAACAAAAAAAAAAAAAACTCTCCAATTGGATTTGCCTGAGTCCGCGTACACCACAACGCGCGCTGACGGAATACGCGGGACACGAAGTTGCCGTTGAGGTAGTAAAACAAGGATGAAGATGCCGCCGTTGGCGTGTCAAGGCGCTACTACTGTGAAGGTCGATCAAGACGATGTAGCCAGACACTTTAGTACAAGGGCGGCATGCCCTAATCCCGGAGGCACTACTACCCTTCGTTACTGTTCATCGTTTGGTACGAAAGTGAGGTATAAATGGCGTGAACGCTGTAAGGCGAGTGCCTTCATGGTGCGTACACCTTCAACGCCTTTCTTAGAGCTAGGAGTTCGCGATGAGGATGTTCGCCCGGTCCACGTATGGCTCTGGAGAAGTGTAAACAAAAACTAAAAGACGGTCATCCTTCGTCGTAGTATGTATCGGTTGCGTGGGGAATTTCTCTAGTGTGGTTCTAGATGCATGCACTAAGAATTCGCGTGTTGTGTCCTCGGGACGGCAGGCGTCATGCGGCTTATCTTCGTCTACAAATTATCCATACTTGTGTAGTCGCACAGCAACAGAGACAACAGTACACCTTATACTATGGCTCTACGCAGGCATTCCGACGAAAACTTTCAGCAATCTCTCAAAAAATACCAATCGCTGTGGTTACTGCGAACACGACAAACAGTGCTCCGCCAATGTAACCGATAACCTTCTCCGACATGTACTGGGAAAGTAGCGCTCCTCCCGTCACAGCGATACCTGGCAAAAGAGTGGCATTGATAGGAGGGAGGGATCTCCTCGTATAAGCAATATTTCAGTTTGGTTTCAAGCAAAGAACATGTGGAACAAATGCAGGGTTCAATTTGCTTCGTTCCTGGCCAAGGATATCCGTGCAAATAAATACATCCATTAGATGTGAAACTGACATATGGGCATCACGACGGGTTTCTTGTACCAGCATGCCCGACAAACGGGCTGTACCTCGTGGGCAGTTGGACTACTGTTGTACTTCGAGTGTTTTGTTACAAAATGCAGAGTAGCGGCAGGCCTCTTCTGGTAATACCACAAGTTGCTTGTGATTTTCTTGTTTCGTGTTCCGCCAGGCTCTCAATCCACCACGAGTACGTAAACACCGGACTCGCTGCTCTGCCTAAATAGCGTGTTTCCTCGTGGAATACATGTTGTGAACGAAATAAGTTGCGAAGCAAACCTCACCGGTGGCCGATGCGTGCGCAACAATCGCGCCTGACGCAACGCCAAAAGGATTCTGCGCCGCGCCCAAAGCGATGGTAGTCAGGAAGGAACGATCTCCAAACTCGGCAGCGAAAACCAATGAAAACGTTTGCAGAATCAAAGCCCTGCCGAGCAAAGAGGGGTGGGGATGGGCAGGTTCGTGGGTGATTTGGTGGGTGGAACCGTGTCTACGGTTGTAAATTTTGGTTAACGCACTCCCCCCGGTGGTTCAATTGGACACATCGCAACCTCGTGGCAATTGGACGAGGGATTGAATCTCGACGTAATCACATTAAACGGGATTTTTTCGCGTAACCCCCCAAAACGTGTGGACGGCGACCAAATATAGTGGCTACACAAAATTCGACTTCACCGTCGACGAGGAAAAGAACGGCTCAATGGCTCTCGAAATAAAGAAGATAAGCAAGCACATCAGAAGGAAGGTCGAAAGAAAAATAAACTCATGCAGCCTTTTCCTATGTGGCCCGTCTGGTGCACCCAAAAACACAGCAAAACGCGTGGAAAAAGTCGACGTCCAGAAATAGGATAATGGACACACCCACAATCCCCATGCCATCCACAGATCACACGGGGATTTTCGACGAAAACGTCAAAACAACGGGCGGAGAAATTGAGAGATATGCACAAGGTTCTCATATGTTCCAGGTGACGAAAGCCTCGATGGACGTTTGAGAGAAAAACGCGTCCACAAGGCGAGGTGTGCAAACCAGAGAAACGGGGGACCCTTGTCAATAACCCTAACCAGACGAAACGCTCATAGACACTGCTGATTCTGCAAAGGCAACCTTTCACCCGTATCAAGCCGCACTGGAACAACTCAACAGCACAAAAAATGTGCCGCAAATGGTTTGCTAGGTTTGAGAGTTCAACGAAGAAGGACGTGAGGAGGATAATGGACCGCGTGCAGGAGGGTGATATGGAGCTGCACTTCTATCGAGACCGTCCGCAGGGCAAGGGATAAATAAGATCAACTAGCACGAAAGAGCTCGGTGCTTTCGGGGTCACAGTGTTGGAGAGCAATAAACTCCTGATACGGGAACCCGAGAAGGTGCAGAAACTGAGGGAGCCGCGACCGATACCACCGCTGACGGCCGTAGCGGCACCTCACGCGTCCACCGACGCGCAGCGACAGACAAAAGGCGTGAGGGTTCTTCGATGCCTTCGAAGCTACCGATCGCCGACCCGCCGACTTTGGTAGTCCACAGCCTCTTCCGGACAGGTGTGGTGAACAAGGAGAAGGCTTGAAACACAAATATTTCGTAGGGGGCGGAGAGGTGCAAGGCTCCGGGGCACAAGGGCTGGGAAAGGCTAGCGGACAAAGGGCAGGAAACGAACCTGCCGTACATTTATGTACAGAGGTACAGCTAACCCATCGCAAGGAATTGAGAAACCCAGGGGGAGGAAAAAGCAAGGAAAACAAAGCCGATATACTACGATTGTCCTTTATTCAGCAAAGGTCTTCTACACCTCTGGATGTAGAAGTAGTACTTCAACGATAGCCGTGTTTTGTGGGCAAAAAAAAGCCAGAAATCGAGATGTATGCTGCCTGATTGCCAGATAAAAAGTGGTAAACCCACTACCTACGATGCTGATCGTTCCATCGAAGCCTTGTACCGTGTTGTGGTGTTGGCAAGCGGCGGGGTTCTGTTGAAGGCCTTTCAGGAACATGGCATCATTTTTGGCGTGCATTGCCAGAGCAACAAAAAGGCTTGGATCACTACCTGAAGCACCCAACCTTGTGCTTGTGAATGCTTGCCTAGAACGTTTATTCGGGAGCAAAACAGTATCACAGATATTGACTGAGGTTGACATTGCGGGGAAGCTGCTCAACAGAGGGCGCTGTCTTGATTTAGCTCTACCTCACTTGTTTTGCCACTGATGAATGGGGTCAACGTGAACACTGGCCTTTGGTCAACATATGCATATTTTGTTGTGTGTGATTTCTATTCTCCGTAGTCTCAGACCCTTCTTCATGGAAACAGAATCTTGCAAATATATCTTGGCATTTTGATCCAAGATTTGCTCACGATATATCTCCGCCAAGATTTGTAGTATCGCGATTATGGGGGAAACATGTTGAGTGTTGAAAAAACGGCGTGTTGTTCCTCTCTTCTGCTTGAAGTTGATAAAGGCACAACGGCCACTTGGTCCACAGAAAATGCCACGGTGTGGCGAAAAGTGAGCATGACGCAGTTGTCGAAGGGGCGTCCCTCCCCCAGCTGTGTTGCCTTAACACTATGGGTGAGTACTAGCGATGGGCGCCTACCTGGGGTGCAAAATAGAAGCCGTTGCCCACGAGCTCGTGTCAAGCGGACAAACAAAATTGTTTCATTGCTGTCCAACTGACAAGAAAGAGCATCGACCCGAAGCCGATGACACCCGTGCACGTATCTCACGATGTAGAACGCGTACCGAGGTCAAACCTCCGGCGCTGTCATCTGTACTCACGGATCTATCTGGCTCGGGTGCAAATGGATTGGGTGTGGGGTGATTCGATGAAGAGATAGAGGCGTCGCACACATTTTTCTACTTCAAAATAACGTACTCTTTGAACGGTCCCTCGAAGACTGGTGATGACGCACGTGGAACGGGCCAGGGCAAATACGCGTTATTTTCGCGCGCCTTGGTCGTTTTCGTTCGCTGTCGGCGCCCTTGGTGCCGACACAGTGACGCCAGAGTGCGTTAGAGACCCTTGCGAGTGTGCCACGTGCAGATTTCATGGCGTTATGGACGATTAGGTTGACTGACCTTCGGTGGTCGCGCCGTACCCAGGCAAGATTTGTTACGCCGCCTCAAGATTTGTCGGAAGGCTCGTTTCGACAGATCTTGGGTCACGATTTGTTCGAAAGGGCAGATTTCGGGCCTCGAGAAATCTTGGCCAAGATATATCGGAAGATTTCGCTCCCATAAATCGTGAAACTGGCAGATCTTGGCCAAGACCAAGATTTATCGACAAGATTTCGTTCCCATAAACCGGGGTCTCAGGTGCAACTTGGTCCGTCTACAAGAGCCAGTTCATATTGGCTGACCGCCACAACACCCAAAGAGCTGGGTGTATAGGGGGTATCTGCCCGACAGGGAGCTCCCGCGCATGGTAGGGGCGTTCTAGAAACTCTTGCATGATGTGTATCATTGACTATGGCTCGCCTTTATCGAATGGGACTGTAAATGGTACCCTCACACCTCGTAGAGTGAATCAAGTTGCGGTGAGTGAATGGGGTTGGCTTAGTCGGCACAAAAAACGGCAATGACCCCCCCACGCTTCGTAGAGGTGCAACGATCGTGTCTTCGGTCATTTCTATGCTAGTTATATGAATACATGCTCCAATAATACGGAAGATTTGTCGCGGGCTCTACGTTTACAGGGGGAGGTTTTCTTGTCTGCTCTATGATTTCTGTAGGTTGAGTAATGTTAGGCTTTTCGAGTGTGCGAATTCCAAACCTTCTGTCTTGCATAGCAGGTCGCCCTGGTAGTCTAGTGGTTATCTCAACCTAATTTCTTGTCAAAAAAAGTAGGTTGTGGGTCTCTACTCTCTCGAGGGTTTTCTTTGCCAACAACTTGCAGGAACAACGATCAATTCCGTGAGTATACACCCTTCCCCTCACGGTCGACGAGGGAAAAGAACACCTGAATCCTTCTCGAGAGAAAAACCAAGGCAAATACAATTGTACTGCAGGAGGAAAGGTGGAAAAAAAACTCTTTTGTGACCCCGGTTGACACGTCAAACATGTACACCGAGAGGTGTGTAGGCTGCCGCCAGCAAAGTGGGACGAACACACTCATAGCATGTGACCAAAAAACATCGATTGTTCGCCTCGAAGATTAAGCGTCAAGACGATTGAAGAGGATGACACCACCACCACGAATAGCTGACCATTTAAGCTGTTGTTGCACTGTTGTCGCAGGCACTCACTTCCAACATACGTCAACTCCTCCTCACAAATGATATGCTGCATGCGAATCGAATGCGTCGCATTCATCATAGCGAGCCGTCAATGATGCTAGCAAAGAAAATTAGGAACGAAGCTCTGCAACAACGGATAGCGATCGTCGATATTGGGGTTGATCCAGCGATCCAGCTACTACGGTCGGTTCCAGTTTTAGCTGCCTTCCGTACAGTCTTGCCTCCTTTACCGAGGAGCTACGATGCGGGATGACACAGAGTAGCTCATGGTGCATGTATCCTCAATTTTGTACACGCGGACGGTTCTGCACCCTCCGTCAAGTCTTGTATTGTCGAACCAGACATGAGTCAAAAATACACAGTATAAAAAGACACATGCGGCTGCAAGCATCAACACCCGGGGCCAAAAAAACTACATCAACTTCGATTGCGAAAAAATAGGACAGCAAAAATAGCCGAAAACATATCTACAATAAGCCGCGGAGCGCCAAGTGCAACCGTTCTTTTCCCTCCGTCCCAGGAGGGAAAAAACAGGCTCTGAAAATCGGCCTGTTCCAGACTTGATTTCCGGGAAAGCCTAAATAACCCATTTTTGAGTCCAGACCCGAGATCAATAGGGCACCAATTTACGATCTGTTGGTTTCTAAGGAGGGACAAAAATAGCGCACTCTTCGTCACACCGATTTGGCCATGCTTCGGCGAGAGATGGCCGTGCTTCACAAACATTTGTGCCCAAAATGTGTGGGGGATTCCTCTCCCCATCCCCGAGTTTCCGCACATGGAAGGGGGGACACAAAAGCGGAGATCTGACGCGCGCGCAATTCAAACCAGCAAAAAACACATCACCGCTGGGACGCTGATCCGAGGCCAGCTATCAAAACCAGGGGGGGAGGGGGGGGGGTGTACTCATAGTCGTGCATGCCGTAGTCGTTAGGCCATTGACCTCGCATCCCTACAAAGCCGGGACGGAGCACGCCGGGTTCTCACCGGACCAGGCTCTCACATCACCAAGCGCGAAGCTCCGTGAGGTATTTGGCGAGTCGCATGAAGGGTGCGCTGCATCCTGCTAAAGGTGTTCGGCATCTTGTGCTTACTTCCTTGCGTACGGATGACAGTTGCGTATGACTTAATTTATTTTCTGGTGCTTTCACTTCCAGAGACAGTTGTAAGCACTGTGTAACTGCCTCGAGGATGCTCGACTATTTTAACACAACGTGGTACGATCATCCCCCTTGCGCGGAGTGAGGGTTCTCCACCCCGCACAACATGATCTACTCGACCACCATTATGGTTACCGCCAAAAAAAAGCCAGAGGTAAAAAAAAAAACGGTAACCTGGTTGCCGAGTTCACGAAGTGAATTGGCTTGTTTTACAACGTCGTTGCCAAGCGACGGAAACCCAATCCCGATGGCAAACACCGAGGGAGGGGCTTGTTTTACAACGTCGTTGCCAAGCGACGAAAACCCAACCCCGACGGCAAACACCGGGGGCGGCGGCATGTTTTACAACGTCGTCGCCACGCGACGAAAACCCAACCCCGACGGCAAACACCGGGGGGGGGCTAAACGACCTGTGCGTCGTGGGTATAGTCACGCACCATGTGTAACCTGACGGGTACTTGTTGATGTTGAGTGGGTTCAACTGACTGCTCAATCAAACGGCAGAGTGATGAGATCACACACACACACACGTACCATCGAGTGAAACCTTCGCAGGCTTGAGGGTCTACTGCTGTGTGATGTCAGGATGGTTGCCCGGGCTCGGTTTGACTTCTTGTATCAATTCTCTTATTATCGTAGCCGGCACTGCTGGGTGCGTACTTACACCGCGCTACTGTGTCTTCGCAAAGCCGTCTGCTCTCTCTACTGTTGCTGCTGCTGGTTCCCTCGCGTCAAAGTCATGGCCATCAACGGCTTTTTTTGGTGCATGTGTGAGATAGTAATGTCCCGTAAGTGGAGACAGCTTGAGACGAATGTGGCGGGTAAATTGTGAACCTGACGCATATGTGCCATCTGCCTGTCACAATCCTATGTCTACGCTGCTGCTGGTGCTCCTCGGTGGTGTGATGTGTGATATGCATCCGCTCGCCGCCAGGTATATGCCGCATGCGTGCCTCTTCCCGATGTGCGTGTTTGCGCCTCACGGCGGGAAGACTTCATATTTAAGTTCTTCGTGGGGTGTGGGGTGTGTGGCATCAACGGAAAGGAAACTACCGAAATGTAAAAGTGCAAAAATTTGAACAGGGGCCGCACATACAAGCAGCTCGCGCCAGTCGCACGCCTGTCCGTGGTGCACGTAGCTGCACTACAAACGACTCACGCTGCTGTGTGTGGGCATTCGTGCATCAGCATCGCAGAAAAAGACTAATGCAAGGTTTTGAGTCGGCTACCCCGTGGCTCATTACCCTGCCCTACCTAGTACCGTAATAGAATAAAGGCCAAGCGCGAGCTCTCGTCGCCTTACCAATGCGAGAATGTCGATCTCATCTAATTTATTTTGTCTTGCGAAGCAGAGACTCAAGCATACAAATAACAGCAGATGTGATGAGCAATCCAGCGTGTGTGAGCACCAGCACCAGCACCAGCACCAGCGCGAGAACGACAACAGGGACATTCCTACAGAGAGAGAGGCAAGTGTGTACATCGCATGTTTCGAATAGCAAAGACAAGAGAGCGTATTCGACATAAAATAGCACCAGCAACAAAGGTGAGATGAGGACAGCAGTGTCGCACTCCAGATATCTTGCGTCATCGGGGAGTGGCGCAAGACTGTGTCCCCCGCACGCGGGTTTGCGTGCGAACAGGGAGTATCGTATTGTTCTGCACTGCCAAACGAAGACACGCCGACAAAAGCTGACGTCAGCAGAAAGTGACCTACAGTGTGTTTTCAGTCGTTTTATATTTCGACAGTTGCTCGAACACAAACGGGCCGGAGCAGTTTTCATGAGATGGTAAGCCGTGAATATTTACTCTGTACATATACGCTAATGAAGAGCATTTCCATCGATTGGCATGGCCAAATAATTTGTTCGCCAGGTCAGAGGCCCAAAACACATGGTGCCCAGACTATCGGTGATGCAGGCTAGCTTGTTCTTCAAGAACAGCGACAAAGTGAACAGGCCAACTTGTCCCTCTGATGTGCCTGCAGACAAAAAAAAATCAAACCTATAGCTTGCCAAAGAAACTGATTGATCGGGTTAACATGACTTGAAAACGGGGCCACACGTTCCATCCGCGAAAAACGCAAACGATGGGGTTGTCACGTTCTGATGGCCGCTTACTCTTCCGGCTCGCAAGTTCGATGGCGTGTTTCTGGTCGCGCCGCTGGCGCTCCAGGGCGCAGACTCCTTGTGAAACTGTTTCAGGTCGGTGGTGGCAGTAACGTGTTGGTCGCGAAGTTTCTTAGCCTTCCGAATGGCCTCTGCACCACTACCGATGCCGCCGCTGGAAGACCCACCCGACACAAGTACCCTCTCTGCAACGTGCGCGACGTTCTTGACACGGTCCCGGTGGGAGTTGCTGAACCCACTTTGGTATGTGTTGGCTATGACTTGACGTGGAGCAAACCATTGGCCATCAAACTGTTCGCGGACGCGGCGGTG